TGTACAGACTGGTTCAGTTTAGGTATATTTAATTTAAATTAATTGTTGCATTCTATAGTCATCAAGTACACCATTCCATTATTCAAATAAAAAAGAAATGCATTGGAACAGAAATATGGAATGATGTTTTTATTACTTGTCTACATGTCGAATAATCCTTCTTCTCGATTTAGATTCGGTTGACCAGTTGAACTTTGATGGTACCGCTTCTCTTTTTAGCAACTGACGTCCAGACTCAGTGGGAGGATTGTAATTTTGCTCAGTGAAGTGCCTTGAGCACACCCTGGTACTACTAGTCAGCTGTTGAAATAAATCAAATGTCCTCTTCATAAAAATTTAAATATTTCATTACAGTGTGCTTAAGATCTACAGAGAGCACACTCTGGTACTACTAGTCAGCTGTTGAAATAAATCAAATGTCCTCTTAACAAAAATTTAAATATTTCATAACAGCGTGCTTAAGATCTACAGAGAGCTTTTCATTCCACTTGTGTTATGATCTTTTCAATAAACTACTACTTACTTTGAATTCCGGCCCTACTTCTCTTCGGATCTTCACCAGCCATTCCTTTTACAGTTGTTCATCCTTTGCCCGGCCAGGTAAGCGGTGGAACTTTAATTCAGGATGATATCTAGAATCCCCGTTACACAAGGGAACACACTGACAATGGTACGAAGATTTATCCTTCGGGTCTGATGGCTCCTCGGTAGTTTCGACATCTACAGTAAATGTTAGCATGCGTTTTGTCTCAACGTAAGACGCATAATTACTCTCATAATATAGTAAGAAATTGGGCGTAAAATGCCGTAAAATTCCACTCGGTTGCTATTTTCGATCTAATATTTTATTTTCATATACTTTAGAAGTCCAATAACTAAAAAAAAAAACAAAAAAGTATATTTTTTGAAGTACATACCTTGCGAAGCCGCCATGTTTCTTAGCCGCCGAGCGGGTTGTTAGTGACAGTTTTTTCACGATTACGAGAAAAATATCGTGCTTTCCATCCAAAAATCAATTCCAAACGAGAGATTTAGTAAATATCTTACAGTTTTTGTAGATATTGCAAAAGGATTGAGTGTAATGAACAGAAAACTATTGTCTAAAGCCAGATATGCTTGACCTCTAACGAGAGTTTGTTTACTGGAGCGCTTGCTCTCCAGTTTTGTGTTGCTACAGTATCAATATCCTGCAGTATCCTCTTGCTGCAAAGGGCCTATTCTGCATTAAATTGCACGCGAAAAACGATGTCGGCTTTCAAGTGCAATTTAACGCGGAATTCACAAGTCAAGTAATGAATTTTTCTTGAATCGCATAATTGAATAAAAATAAAAAAAAATAAAAAAAATCAGCATTACTTATAGTTGTTATGTTTTCGCAGATACGAAACTGCTTCACCTAGCCTCGTTTTCAACTCGCAATTCCACTAAGGACCTCGCTTCCTTAACCGACTAGAATGCGAGATCATATTCAATGATGCGATTCTATTTTATATAGGCATGGGCTTACGAGCTCCGCTAACATCTAACTGCGAACACACAGACACACACTCACACACACACACACACACACACACACACACGCACACACACAAAGGTGAGTGGGTATGAAACATCATAATTTCCCATTTTTTTAGCCTTCTGTTGTCCGAAAACTGTCTTTATAATTATATTTTTATCTTTCTAGGTTGAACCAACTGTACTAACTCTAACGGAATGTTCCCTTGACAAAACTTACCTCACTATAACGCCAACTATACCCATTCACAGAAGTCAGTTCGCAAGTGGCCTAGACATTGGTTTTTGGCTACCAGCTGGAATTAGACTGGACAATGGCAGATGTAGAATTACATTAGAGGGCCGTAAATCTAAAACTGTGCGTGTAATTGCCGAATGCAGAAACTTCCGTAGTCCCAATTCAGATAAATTGATCTATCCAGAAATACAAAATCCACACAGTGAATTTTGGAACTCAGCAGGCCACCTACCTGCTATTTGGGTAAGTTAGTTGAGATTCTATTAAAACTTGTAATCAAAGAAAATTTATATTTCACTACGCGGTCAGCCAATCTGGATCTCTAAGACACAAATCCTCCGGCGGACATTTAGTTTAAGATTGTTGCCGACAAAACAGGGTGCCTTTCCGAAAAAATCGTTCTAGGCGCGCTACTTTTAAAAAAAAACTGCATGTCGCTTTTGAAGCTCAAGCCTTTTAACATAAAACTGACGGTGTTTACTACATTGAATTACCAGCCTCTACGTTACCGTGGACCTCCAAACAAACTGAACAGTAGCATTCAGCTGATAATAGGCTAAAACATCTTGTGAGGCTTTTTCGATGTTCCTTTTGGTTCCTAAGTAAACCTATTTTGAAGTTGGACGAAAGATAGTATTTCGCTTGTGGGCACGCTCTGCAACTCGGGAGAGAAATATTTCGAATTTTGTAAAAGCCTTAACCAATTTGGCGCGTTAATATCTGAGGAACGTTCAGGCCAATTTTCAGATGAATCCAAAATATCTTTGTACCCTACAAATTTGTTTAATTAAGTAGAGGTAACTCGCGTAAAAACAAACCTCGAGTTTTTGGCTGTCACGCCATCCGCCAATTTGAACAATTTGTACTATGGCGACCCTTTCCCGACTTCTTTCAACCTTTTTTCGCTGATTGGGGCGAAATTTTGGAGCAAACGAGCCGGAAGGTAGCAACAGAAGAACCAAACAAAGGTTTGTAAATATGCCAAGCGCCGTAATTTACAACATGAGCAGAGGAGAAAATCTTCAAAGAGAAAACGCTCAGTTAGATTTTAAGTTTACGTACGGTATATTAATAAAACTCGAACACAGCTAACATTCGTATAGTATATATAGTTTCATGTTCAAAAACGAAAAAAGAAAACATAACAACATAGGAATTATGAAAAATATAATCAAATCGGCATAACTGTTAGAATTCATAGAAATCATGACGGTGTCAGAGCGACTACGATTTTGCCACATGCGTTAATTTCCAAGGCATCTCTTATTTCCTGACTGTCTCGCCTTCTACTCGTATTTGGATCTCTTGTTAAACCTAGCTTGCTGGAATTAGTGTTGCTATTTTCAACGTAGACATTGAGCAAAACTATATACCCGAGGGTTGTTGTCTTCACATGAGTCATCCACTCTCATTCTTCTTTAAAATAACTCTCCATTGTACTTTCAGTAATCCAAAGGCGCCTTCTGTGACCATCCTCGCTTGACTTAACCTGTAGTTGAAGCATCTCTGTTTCTCTATTAAACCCACACTCGTGTAAGGTTTTAAGAGCCAAGACTGGAGTGAAAAAGTTTAATCCCCGACAATAAGTGGGCGCACAGTCACATCAGCTATCTTGAGTCCAATATCTGGGAGAAAATTCTTTTATTTTTAACTTTTCCTTGAGATCTGTAGCCTGGGCGATGATAACATACAGTTACCTGGAAAGCCGCGGCTACCCCAAATAAACCTTTATTTTCTATCTACCATGGCCATCAAATTAAGGTATTCTCTAAATGAGGCGGCTCCTCCTGGTGGGCATTCAATCGGAATGTGACAGCCATCAATTACAGCTCAACAGAAGGGAAAATGCCACCGTTGTCCATTTCCTTCACACTATCTTTAAAGTCTTGCTCGTTCGATAGCATAGGCCTCATAACACATTCTTGCCAAATGCAATCAATTATCAGTTCACAAACCTGAGTCACAATCTCCTGTACAGCTAAAACAAGCAGTCCAACCATTTCCGCTATGGTGTAATGACAGTTCCCTCTTCCCAGACGATAGAAGCAAATAGCAAGTCGGCATCCAAGGGATATGGGGTCTTCCTTTATTGTCTGACGTTCCAAGTCATTGCGGATTTGGCTCAGAATAAAATTGAAAATATCTTTCGGAATCCTGAAAGTTTTATTAAACCTTTGTCGGTAAACAAGTATGCTTTATACTGTCTCCCACCACCCGTTGTTTCTCGGCAAATGTCGACAAGATCATCAATGAACTCTATCGGTAGCCATATACTGCTTACGTGAGCAATAAAAGCCCAACCAAGGAAAACAAAAGAATTATCCGCCACCTTCGTAAAGAAACATACATGAGAACACTTTCTGAAGTCATCCTTCCGCTCTGGTTGCTCTGAGAAAGCTATCCTATCTTTCACATCCGCCATCTTGAATGCTGAATTTTGGCGCAAAAATTGTTATCAAACCCAGTCCTTTGCGTTTCTTCTATTAGGTGCGACACACGATACGCCGTGGTGGTCAACCGATTCGGCTGAAACTTGGCACAAACGTTGCGTGTAAAAAGATATTTCAAAAGCCACTTTAGCTCACTTCTCTGACTGTTTTTTTATGGAGTTTCAGGCGGGTCCCATTTGAGGCCTGTGGAGCACCAAAAACTCATCCTTCTAGGTGACATTTTGAAAGTGCTATAAAACTCCATTGGTAAATTGTGCTGCCAAATAAATTTGACCATGGACTCTACTATAGTGATGCTTTTACTTCATAAATGTAACTTTGTTCTCAAGTGATTAGACAGAGAGGGGCCTGGGGCTAAAGTTAGGTCAAATTTGGGGTCAAAATCTGTACCCAAAATTGTCATTTTTAAAAAAACCATAACAATCACCTGCCTTCTTGCATAACTTTCATACCAACTCTTGTCTGTACTTTAGCGACCCATTTATCAAAATCATTTGAGAAAAATTTGCCATTAAATACCTGTTAAATCCAAATCGTAAATAAGTCAAGTAACTTTTCGAGTATGGGCTGCCATCACTTTTTATATCAGCGCTGCCATTAACTTCTTCAAAACACTAGCCAAAGCGTTTTTATCTAACGTCTCCTTCAGGTTCTTCTTCCTTAAATGATCATTCGGAATTTTTACAGTTGTCTTTGTTGTCTTCTCGGTGTGTTTGGAATCTTTGTTCTCAAACTAAACTTTCCTCGGAAACGGAGGCGAAGCGTTTAGCCACTTATGCAAAAGTTTGACAACATTCGCCGAACGAGGCGCTTGACAACTAAGCAGACTTTGAACTCGACATGAAAACCCAGTATCTGCAGCAGATATTGGGTTATCATGTCAACTTCACATGCCACTGGAATTTGACTGAATGCTCACGGCCAATCAGATGTTTCATAGTATGTCTAATGTATAATAAATATAGATTAATTCATAGTTGGTGAGTGCGTACGATTTTTATTCACGAGTCGTGCAAGCGAACTAACCATGAAGTAATTTCTTTACATGTATTGTATTAGTACTGAGGTATTACAAATGTTTGTAACTTTAAATCACAGTCAACTGACCACAAAAGACAAAGAAGTCGCGAACTCGATATCGCCTTTATTTAAACCCAATCAATGATGTCAAGACGCCTAAAATATTCGAATGTGCTCAAAAAGGCGAAAGGACTGTACTTTTAAAATAAATCATTTCAAGAAAAAATATTACAAACCCCATTCAAAGAAATTTGGGCTTATGTTTGACAATTGAAAATACTTAGCTCAGATAAGCTTTCAAACTAACAAACCGTTTCCTACTCTGACTCGGAGTCGAATACTTTTAGTCTTCTAGCTCTTTGTGGACTTTACCTTAGTTTCTGGAGTGGCCAAGGTCGGTGAATAATTAAGACTGCTGATAGATATTTATTGGGATTTTCTGAGCAAGACAAATTCATAAAAGGCAACTGTCCATAAATTTAAACTCACTAAACGTAGCATTTTCCACTATATATCTCTTAGAAAATCTAATCTTGGAAAGGTTTTAATGTTGTCTCTTCCTCAGGTCTCTGTGATAGACGAATCGGACAACATTGGTCGTTGTGAAACGTATATGGATCCACATTACGAGTCATTTTTGTGAGTACCGAATTACTTTTGATGTGTCGATATACAGTAATTGTTATGTGAAATTTGTTTTGTAATGATGAAAATTTCATAAATAATGAAGAGCAATAAGACCAAGGAACGTTTGATATAGACTGTGATAATAAAACAGAGAGTGTTGAGACCAGACAGGGAGTGATAATTTTAAAATCGCCTGTTTGTCTCAAGCTTTGCCAGAATGCAAAGTATATCAGAGGTTAACAATTTTCCGAAAATGACATCAAATTTTTTCGTTATCTGAGAGATATGATATACCTCTATGAAAATCTTCATTTTCCCTTCATGTGAAAATAGATTAGCTCTACCAGTGCGATGGATAAAAAAGCCATTTAGAGATTTGGTCCACTTTCCCAGTGGCATTGTGCGTTATTAGAAACTGAACCCACAATAATTTTATTCGTCTCGTCCATTCCTTTTTTTTCTCCTGTAACAACTTATGCTAGATGTTTCAAATTGTTTGAGAGTGTTCAATATGCGTTATTGACCAAGCTTGATGGCTGGCTATTGGCCGAGTTTTTATTTGTTTGTTTGTTTGTTTGTATTTTTATGGACAGAGACGAGGTCGAGACCATAAAAATACAATACAAGGGAACAACGCTAATATCTCTGCAAAACGACATTGACTGCATTTCGCAATGGGCCCAGAAGAACAACATGAATCTTAACCCTAAAAAATGTAAGACCATGACTATTTGTCCACTCAAACCCAAACCTGTCTCCCCAATGTCCTCTATCAATAACTTACCTGGAGATGTTGTATCATCTCACAAAGTACTTGGTCTAACCCTGAGTAACACCCTGAAGTGGAACGATAACACCAACGATATTGTTTCCAAGGCGTCCAAGCGACTGCACATTCTCAGGGTCTTGAAGCGCGTTGGAGTCCCTCCGGCGGATCTTGTCATCATCTATAGTGCCCTGGTTCGTTCTGTCCTAGAATACTCTTCTGTTGTTTGGGCTTCTTGCCTTCCTCACTTCCTCATTGAGCAGCTTGAAGCTATCCGGAAGAGGGCTATGTGAATCATATATCCTGAACTCCACTATCAACAGGCTCTTGCGCAAGCCAACATTACCAGTTTAGAGGATAGACGCACCCACTTATGTCTTAAAGTGTGGCACGATATCAAAAATAATCCGGCGTGCCAGCTGCACCGTCTACTCCCTCCCATGCGATCTGAGTGCCACTCTTACCACCTTAGGAGTAGTAGCAGTTCTAGCTGTTTTCAGTATAGAACAAAACTCTTTGGTTCTGGTTTCTTCCCAGCAATGGCGAAAATTAACTAATCATAAGGTCTGGTTATCTCTATTATAGTATTTTATTTCCCTCTGAATTGTAAATTATTTATAATAGCCTGTAATCCCAGTCCCTCAAAAACAAGTGTAATTTTATCTATTCCCGTAATATACTATAATTCATAATTTTATGCCACCGTGTGTAGTTTTTAATAAACCATCATCATCATCATCTAGCCATCTTGACCAAACAAGCTTCGTCAATAAAGGATTTATTATATTTCAAAAAGATTTCGCTTTATTAAGAATTAAGAGAGACTTGTTTTCTTCGAGAACCGGGAAAGAAAGCCAACTGTGTTTGAAGCACAATAAACTCACGAGAGTCGTTTCTGTTTTCTTTGTTTTGACTATCTTCTGCCGCTCTTTGCCTCTCCATTGACAACATCGTCTTAGAACTACGAGCCTACTGCCAATTTTTTTTTTTTTTTTTCATGCGCGAGATCAATATCGGCAATCCCGAACAGGCAAGATGGGCTCATCTTGCCATCTCAGTAGCCAATCAGAACACAGCATTCGCTTCATATTGCCCACGGGCGCTGCCAACGAGGTAATAGGATTAATTGATGAATCTTCATAATGAACAATACCGTTGATTGACTAGGTACGTATCAAAAATTTGATGCTTTTAATCTTAAAGTAGTGTACGATCGCGGCCTAGTTTGTTTCGTCGAGAAACTAGGATGAACAGTACATCAACGCTGCATATATTGATTTTATTAAAAAAATATAATTTCTTTGTCTCTTAGATCAGTTAGTTTCCCTGAATTAAAAGAGTTTGGTCTCAGAGAGTAGAGTAACGCAATGTTTCCTCGTTTGCAAGGTCGAAAGCAAAGAAAAAAAAATATGAAATGAGTTAAAGAAAAATAAAAAAAAAGCGAAAAGTATTTTCAAGATTAGAATCTTATTATTCTAAACGAAATACCTCGCCTTTAGAAACACAAGGATTTTTTTTATCAGTTTAGATCTAGGCACAACAATCTTTTGTAACAAATATAGTTCTCTAAGTGTTTTAGCGGCACAGTTTCCTCTGTGTTTTGCTTATGGTTAATACTGTGTTATTTCTCACCATTTCTTTAGCGTTCGCCTGAAATTTCTTAGTCAAAAAATCTCTAATTTGGCTTTTTAGTTCCCTTTATTTCCTTTTCGCCTTTGTTAGTGCTTACCATTTACATTTCATACGGGCAGCGTTGTACTGATATTTGTTTTTGTTGGAGCATGCAACACAGGTTCTCGCGTTTTACACAGTTCAACCTTTAAGAGAGTTGTTGTCGGTTGTTTTTTTTTTTGTGTGTGTGTGTGTGTGTGTGTGTGTGTGTGTGTGTGTGTGTGTGTGTATGTGTGTCTATGACAATGTAAGTGTTCCATAGTCCTCCATTGTTGGTCCTTTACCTTAAACCACAGGCAGCCCAAGCTCACAACTAGAAAAGCGGACATGACTCTTAAAGTGTTACGCAATGTTTTATATATATAAAGGTTTGTATGGGAAGTTATCGGTATGCCTTAAAAGAGAGAAAAAAATGTCTTCTTTTGAAATAAAATGGACTTACCTTATTGCCTTGTTGTTTTCTTTGTTGATTACCAGCGTCTCAGGCCATTTTTGAAGTGTTTTCGGCGAGTTAGCGGTATGTTGATGTTCAACTGCTAAAAAAAAGACAAGGCCGGAAACCCATTTTAGAAGTGTCCGTCGCCCGAAGCGAATAATTCCGCCAAAAAATTTCCACCAGTCTCGATTCCTCCAGAAAATCAAAGCAGACAGTTCCATTTCCATTCACTTGATTCCCAATTCCTCCCACATATCTTTCACTAGCGATGCTTTTATCTCCAGATCGATCGGCTTTCCAATTTCGAATTTGGCTCGTTGAAACAGTTGTGGACCCGTTCGCCGATCGCACAGTATGTCGGGTAACAAAAATAAGCCCGGCGAGGGCAGCCAGCGGCCTTCAGTCGACAAACAAACCAGTTAGCTCCCCTGGTCCCCTCGAGAGGTTTTGTCAAGACCGCATTGCTTAGATCGACCAATCAACATCGAATGGAGGTTTGTTTACAAATTTAAATTTTACTTTGCTTTGATGTCATTGCTGTTTTGATCTTTGCTTTGATCTTGAATACAGACTCGTGAATATAGGATCGATCGTCATTGTAGTTCTCATCCTCGAATTCGCTGAAGTTATTTTTTTTTCTTCCTGTTCTTTTTAAAGTGATGACTTCATCGCTGGAGTGCAAGGCATGGTAAGTTTTTAAAAATATAACTAACGAGGGAGACTAACTACGATACCTTTGAATTCTATCACGGATACAATAAAATATTACGAATACATGTACAATATAAACATATTTTGTTGTAGGTTGCTGCGGAGCTTCGAACAATGTGAGGGAGGTCTGTTACGAGTCAACGACATTATTTCTGATGCAGAGCAAGTAAAAGAAAATTTTGCCCGCCCTCCTAACTCCAAACTTTTCAGTCACTTAATAAAGCAAATAGGATTTTATAGTTTTCTAAAATCAAGAAACAATGAAAGCAGATTAGCTGGACGAAAGTCTCAACTTTGTTGGATGACCTTTCATTCAGCAAGGTGTCAATAACGCTGTTCTTCTCTTCGAGAAACGTAAATACGACGTTTTTTTTTTTTTTTCTGTGATAACAAAAAATCTCGAATCTTTCGAAAAAATTGGCAGGTGGACTCGCGAGTATAGATTCATGCATCAAAAACTGTTGATAGATTTCCATCAGTTCCATTGAAATGGGCACTTCGTCCTCGAACGAAGCTCTCACTGGACCTTCAAAAAACTGTAATGGAAATGAAAATGGTTCATCACACTCTTCGCACTCTTGAAATCGATCTTTCACTGGCATGAGTTGCTCCCTTTCGCAATTTTTGTTGCGGCAACATGATAGGTCTGCAACGGGAGCATGTAAATGTTGGAAAGTGCAATGTTCGACAGCTCTAGTGCCAGGTTTTAACAGCTGCCGAGGACTGAAATCCAGAATTTGTATGTGTTCAGGAGACGTAACCCTGGATACGGCGACGTAAATTAATCCAGACACGTAATAGCCTGAACAGCGCACGATTGCAGAAGCAAGTGTTAGCCCTTGAGATTTATGACAATTTACCGCGTAAGCCAAAATAAAGACCTGAAGATCATCGCCCTGCACTACAGTAAAAACACCTTCGCTTCCATTCTTTAGGTAGTCTGATTTATTCCAGATAAGCATAACCTTGCAGCCTCGCTTCAGCTGTAAGACTGGTACCCCCGGCCAGCTCATGCTTCTGGAACTCTCATTATCATATGAGGCTTGATAAAGAAAAAGATCTCCAGAAATTTGATCAAGTTTTCTCCTATTCATTGTTGCTACGGGTATTTTACAAAAAGATATATGCGTAGCACTTTGTTCCAACAATTCAGGTAAGTTCCTTTTCAGGGAGCAAAGATATTCCTCTGATTCTATGCTACAATTACCCAACCTTATTTCTGCCAGCGCTTTCAGAAAACGCTGGTCCTCTTCGGACTGGCGCATCAGTTTAGTAAGAGCGAAGCGATGGCTTATCGCAATGTCAAATAAGGCAGACTCGAACATGTAACATCCTTCGTCAAACATGTTAGCTACAGGTTGAGACTGTGAAAACTCCCCAACTAGGATAATCTGTTTTCCTGCAAATAGAAGGGTTTGATCTATTGGTCTGTCTGCCAACTCATGGTGCATTAAGTTCAAAAGCTCGAACATTTTTTGACTGGACATACTCGCTTCCTCCCACATTATCACATTTATGGCCTTGACACAAGCGTTTACTGGGGAATTGCCGATCGATCTGTCGATCAGTTGACGCCATGGTAGATCAGCTGTCATAAAACCGTAGAACGAGTGAACAGTTGAAGCTAAACCTTTACCATATACTTGGCACGCTATACCACTGGAGCGTACGATTCCGACATTCCTTCTACGAGCATTTAAGGTTCTGATTATCTGCTTAACAACTTCTGATTTCCCCACTTCTGTTTGTCCTGTAATCAACAGGTTGTGGCCTTCAGCAGCAAAATCAACAATTGCTTGTTGATCTTCATTTAGTTGAGCCCTGAAAACCGCCGAGAAATCATTACAGTAAACCAGAAAAACAGCGTGAAATATCATTAACAAATGTCTGAATACAACTTTCAATACACGAAACTTCTGTGTACAGAGAGCCTCATGAAACAAATGACAAGATAACATACTTACATTGTTAAGCAAGGGACATTTCACCGCAGGTTTCGTTCATTGATTGACAATCACATTTCCATTCGATGTTGATTGGTCGATCTAAACAGTGCGGTCTTGACAAAACCTCTCGAGGGGACCAGGAGAGCTAACTGGTTTGTTTGTCGACTGCAGGCCGCTGGCTACCCTCGCCGGGCTTATTTTTGTTACCCGACATACTGTGCGATCGGCGAACGATTCCACAACTGTTTCAACGAGCCAAATTCGAAATTGGAAAGCCGATCGATCTGGAGATAAAAGCATCGCTAGTAAAAGATCTGTGGGAGGAATTGGGAATCAAGTGAATGGAAATGAAACTGCAACATGTCTGCTTTGATTTTCTGGAGGAATCGAGACTGGTGGTAATTTTTTGGCGGAATTATTCGCTTCGGGGTACGGACACTTCTAAAATGGGTTTCCGGCCTTGTCTTTTTTTAGCAGTTGAACACCAACATACCGCTAACTCGCCGAAAACGCTTCAAAATTGCCTGAGACGCTGGTAATCAACAAAGAAAACAACAAGGCAATAAGGTAAGTCCATTTTATTTTAAGACAAGACATTTTTTTTCTCTCTTTAAAGGCACACCGATAACATCCCATACAAACCTTTATAAATATAAAACTTTACGTAACACTGTAGGAGTCACGTCCGCTTTTCTAGTAGTGAGCTTGGGCTGCCTGTGCTCAAACTAGGCTGTATGTGAGTGCTACGATAAGTTATTTCGTTATTCTTGTCTTTTAGTTTCAACCTAGATCTACGTCCTTCGTCTCGTCTACCACTTCCTACTTTTGTTTACGTAAATCTTTGATTTTCTGGTTTAATCGGCAACTTTGCATTTGAATTTGCAGTTATCATCTGTTATTAAGTTGTAAGCTTTGAATCTTTTCTAATTAAGAGGGTGGGGAAAAGGGCAGGTAATTAGTGCAAATAGAATGGGTAGTTTAATTCAATTTTTGTGGTTACAGTTTAATTGGATGTATTTGAACAAACCTTTTTCTTTGTACTTACGCTTTGCTTCCTTTTCGCAATGGTTAAATTTCTTCTCTCTTTCAATAAGTCTAAGATTGAAATCATAGCAATACAACTATTTTTTCTGTCTTCTTTTTTTCTTGAAGTAGTGAACGCTTAAATGAGGCTAGGGCGATCATGGTGAACATTCCATGTGCGGCATACATGTGCGGCATACGCGTATGAAAAAAGAGCGTTGATAAGTTACGGTCCTACCTCGCTTAGGGATATAAGTAATGGCTTTGCTGCTCGATGACCTTGTAGATCTCACTGATTGCCTAAACTCCTAAGTTGTTTATAGTTTTATAGAGAAAGACTGTATCCAAAACTTCGTGCCAATACGAGATAGCTCACAGGTTCGTTAGTTGAAGACAGATCTTATAGGTTACATCGCAACAGTAGGGATGTTTAAAACTAAGTTCTGTTGCGCGCCGCTGTATGTTTTCAACTTGCTTTACTAAGCCAATGGACTGCAGCGACTATACTTGTGTTGTGTTGCCGAGATGGCACCAAACGACAGATAGATACAGTGTGCAGCGCGTTTGGGTGCTGTGGATGCATCTAGAGGCTCAGTGCACAAAGTCGAGAAGTTTGTTGGCTTTCGCGAACAGTGAATTGTATGTCTGAAGATTGCTTGACACCCACACACCAATGCCTTTCTCAGTGTCACAAGATTCTAAAGGCGCTTCGATGATGGTATATATGTACTGTACAGGTGTTCTTTTACGGGTTATTTACACTCGGACAGATTAAATACTAGCCCAGAAGAATCAGACCAGCTGACAAGGTTGTTGAGGTCGGATTGCAATGCATTACAGTCTGATAGAATCGATGCGCATAAAAATCTTGATATCATCGGCAGAATTGACAACTCTTGATGTCTTAATAGTTTTTGGTAGATCGTTCACAAACAGCAGGAACAGTATCGGCCCTAGTAGGGACCCCTGTGGTACCCCGGATGTAGCCGGCAGTTGTCGGAAAGTGGACCCCAGAACTGTAACTTGTTGCTTGCGTCCCTGTAAATATGAACGAAATCAGTCGTGAAGTTTGCCAGCAATGCCACAGTTGCTTACTTACTGGCGTGAACCCAGATGATATGGAGAAGCGCATTCAACTGAACATGCTATACTTATAAATAAGATAAAAAGTGACTACTGCGTCTGCGTAGGAGTAACTAAAAAGTGAACGAAATGAAAAAATTGCGGTTGCTTGGGTATGTCTTCCTCTACAATGGCCTCTATACTCCCTTAATATTCATCAATTAGGTGTCACGGATTCTCTCCTCTAAAATAACATATACTTTGTCACTTCATTTATCAACGTAGTTTTCATCTTCCTTACAGGCCTTCTTGGTTCTCCTTTATGGGACAGGGAGATTTCATCCTCTATCGCAATGCAGAACGCAATTTTGAGGTAAAAAGACAATTTAAGAATGTATAAATGCATGAATGAATAAGTTGAAGAATAGAGAATTATAAGTATAACTGCTACGGTGATTATAGAGATACGCGCGCTTTAATTTGTTGAGGATTACGTCATATCTCGGTATAATCACCTCGCAGGAGGTGATTATAGCAGGAGTGCCAAATTTATAAATGGCTACCTAGGGTTTTTTCATTGTTATAGACGAACTGATCAGAACGCGATAAAGAAAATTCAATTTTCTGGTGCTGTTAACTCCAGACTTATATTCAATACACGTTTACAACACAAAAATATCATCTACACTAAGGATAAAGCATCTGTTTGCGATTGCCGCTTGGAAGAAACTTTAGAAAAGTGTTGCGTTTATCAATTGAATTCAGAAAGGAAATCAGGTTCAGTGAGCTCTAAAACCCACTCAGTACCAGGTCCAGTTACTGGAAACTAAGTAGAAACTTAGTAGGCCTCCCGCAACGGTTGATCATTTCTTTTTGCCACATTTCGCTGACAAGACTCAATCGGATCTACCCAACTATCCACAGTTGCATTTTCGGCTTTTGATTTGTTATCAATTTTTACCCTTAATGAACAGGTGAAGTTTGCTAAGCTCGCTCTAACAATGCATAGTTATTAAAAAGACGTTTGAGTTTGTCCTACTTCGAAAATACAATAGATAAAGCTCATTGTGCGATACATAATTTGTCCTCCTCTATGGATTCTCATGCATCCTATGCCATATAATCTCGTCCATTTTTTTGAAAGGGAGCTGAGGTCAAGGCAAAGGACATGATGAGATAATTTTACACTAGGATGATTGCAACATTTCTTACAAACACAATCTCATTTAAAATGGTGAAAATAGGTACATACAAGGCAATGGGTCTGTTCGGAATTTGCGGAAACCTGTAACTGTGGGGCTGTTATTCGCGATCACAATGATGTTATTGAGTTTAACTGCTGCAATGAAAACCGTTATTTTGATCGCACAACTCCCATACGAGTTAAAGTACGCAGCGAAAAAAGACTGGCACCAGGAATATCGATCACCCAAACCATATCAGGATTCAACAGCAAGTATCTGGTAAGTGTTTAAATCCACTACTCATCATAACATAGCGCGCGCGCTAGTCCTATCTAATTCCTGTTGCGTCAACATGAACAAAATCTTTATGTACGCACGGCAGTGCTAAATAAAATGACGTGTCCAGTTTCAAAATAGCTGCAAAATTTCCGTCGTATGAGTTCCTTAAGTTAAAGTTTCGGAAAGCGATATCAGTAAATGGAAGACCAACCAAACTTTTCTTTGGCTTTGGACCTTCCCGCAAGTAGTCAAGCCAACAAGCAAAACGAAAACAAAACACAACAGGCCCGTTTCCCGAATTTATCGGAACAGGAGCTGGAGAAAATTTTAGCTGAAAGACATCCAGCAAGAACTAAGAAGACTACAAATTGGTCTGTGGCTACTTTTAAAGGTAAACGTCTCTGTTGATGACGTTTCTTTGGTTACATTTGTTAACTCTACCGAAAACCATTTAATTACAAAATCAACAAAACAATCGGAAACGCCAACATTTTCGGGCAACTTTCATTTTAAAAAACATTACAAAAACGTCATTCAGTGCCCAAATTGTTTTGGTATGTTATAAAAGAATTGTTTCATGCTTTTAGCTGTGCGTATATCGAGTTATGGATGCACGCACGAGAGAAGCATAAGAGTTCCTCGAGGCGCAGCCTAGAGCAACTCTAGCTTCTTGAGTGCTCTCTAAACTTCCCGCGTGCATCTATAACTCTATGTACGCACGCTAAGCATGAAACAATTCTTAATTATTTGACTGCATTATTTTCTCCTGTAGCACTGTAATGCAAACATGCTTCGCTAGTGCAATTTACTTTTCCATAATTTTATGAGAAATTCGAGTTTTATTCGACAATTTGTTTCTCAGCGGATAATCGTAGATCATTCTAGAGCTTTCTACCTGAAGAGTTAAAAACCGCTTAGGTTGGTGATGCATGGAATGAAAGGCAGAATTCGGTGTCCTGGTCATTATATTTATTCGCAGGAGTATTTTTTTCTGTACAGGCCTTGGATACTTCCTTTCTTCTAGTTTGTGACATTGGCAATTAGTCAATCAAGATTCTTGTGTTAATTTCCAAAACGCATCGTTTGTGAGGCCCGATTGAACAAAAAGTGTATGGAGGCTCAAGCCATCACTTGCATCTCATGGATCTCATATTTTCAGGCTTTTCTGTAATAATCATTTCCTTTATTGCAGATTTTGTTCCCTTCAGGAGGGAAAGTAACCATCGACCGAAATTCGTTTGGGCTTAATGTCGTCATTATGGTCCCCCGGTCGAAAAGCATTTCCAATGAAACCGGTCTATGTTTGCTCAATAACGGGCCAAATGTAACAAGTTTTGCAAAGGGGTACAGGTAAGCAACCAACTTACTACTAAAAAAATTATGAGCTTATCGGTACTAAGTAGAATTACAGAGTACCTTATCAAGACACTCACCTGGATCAACTGCGCCACCCCCCTCCCCACCCAACCACTACTAACTCTAACCGGATTCCTCCATAATTACCTGGAAATAAGCATGAATTAGAAGCAGAGCGAAAAAAGTATGTTACACGCTCAGCTGTAAATTTCCAATAGGGTGGAACGAAGTCACGATTTTCTCCAGCTACAACTTTCCGATCTTCAGAACCCATCTAAGAGAGGTTTTAGTGACATTTTCCAAAGAATTGAAACAGCATCAACCTTGTAATCTCCTCCCACGAAAAATTTATTACAAATAAACGCATTTAAGCTAATCATGATTAAAATACAAAAAAAAAAAGTCGGCGACAGCTGATCATTACAAAAACCTCGTACAGGCGTTAAAATGGACGACGAGGCCTGGAACTACAAAGGTAAGAACATGAGTGCTTTTTCTAGTTCGATATATCATCACAAAACAACTTTGATTCCTTTCTTTATCTCTTTTTTTTTTTCCATGGAAACGGATAACAAAGTTTATTCTGTTAACATGCATTCGGTACCGAGTTATGGGTCGCAACGGGAATCGTGTTCTTTTCCAGCGTTTAAATCTAATTTCACAGTGAGCGTTTGCAAATCTTTATTATTTTATTTTTTATTATTATAATTGTTTTAAATTAGATTACTATTTTGCGATATTTCCATTAAAGTTTGGAAGGAGTCAATGAAAGGGTGGCGTACCTTAATTTTCCGATGGTCAATGTTTTGTTGTTCCCGCACATGACTTCCTGATACATTACTACACAAAACAACATTTCTTTAGCTTAATTTTCTTAATTTTGAGTTCGTGACGTTCTATTTACGGAGTGTAATTTTAAATTTGCATTATTAAAACTTTTTTTGCCAAAATTAAGCAGTTTTCTCACTTACTTTTGATTTTAACAAGGCTTGAACGGTTTTTGATAAGGTGCCCTTTCAGTCGACTTTGACAAGGCTCCGCAGCTTGTGAATCATAAGCCATGCTGCCAATGATTTACAGGCCTTTTCATGGTTTACTTATTATCTTCTTTGAGAATTACAACCTCAATCCGCTTTGCATCTATTAGATCGATCCACTTTGGTGCATTTAGGGCAATAACGAATAGGGCCCTTTTTATTAATGTAACAGATTGGAACCCTCACAGAGCTACTTCTATAGACTGCCTGATCCAGTTAATGACAGTGCTGTGGAATACGAGATTCCTTGCTCTTGTCACAAGAAAGACGAGAATGGTAATCCAGAATGTATTCAAAAGCTCCCAGTGTACTTTCCTAACGTTATGGATGGAACTGGGAATGTAATACTGCTCACAGGAAAATTCAACAAGAAAAAGAGGGACACACATATCTCGGACGATCTCACGGACGAAGACTATGCGCTATTTAAGGGTGTGATAGGTTCAAATAAGTCACATAGGCGTAGACGAGCTTTGTCAAGCAAGCGTAACTTTACAATGGAAAATGCAACGGATTACTGCATGGAAAAGGTGTCAAAAACAGACATTGGTAACTTATGCGCAACACTGGGAGTAAATGTTCCGGAAATCGTTATTTCCTGTTCCCTGGACTTAAAGGTGAAACTTTTCTTTTCCCTCAGTTCTTCCCTCCCATCATTCCTTCTTTCCTTTTCTCCTTCTTTCCTTCTTTATTTTCATTCCCTTTTTTTTCTTTTTTTCTTTCTTTCTTTCTTCATGTCTTCTTTCTTTTTTGCCTGTCTTCCTCTCTTTATTTCCTTCTTTATTTTTTTTTTTAAATATTTCTTTCTTTTTCTTTTCTTTTTTCTTTTGTATAATTTATCTTTCTCTCTTTTTCTTCCCTTCTTCTTCTTTTTGACTTTCTTTCTTTCTGACTTCCGTTCACTCCGTCCTTATTCTTGTCAGTCTTTCTTTCTTCGATTCTTCTCCTTCTTCTTTACTTGTTCTTCTCTCTGTCTCAGAGAAAGATGGAGCAGGCCTAAAGGATACAGTAGACCTTCGCGGGCCAAATTTTGCCAAAATCTTTTTTTTTTTTTCGCCTCAAACAAAGCATTACTATTTTAATCATATAAGGGGCAAAATTACTGAAATGTGATTGGTAAAGACAGATGGCATTTTTTCTTAATTTTTGTATTTGCCGAGGGAAAAATTACTTGAAAATGATTGGTTGAAAATCGCTTAGCGACGGCTGCCAAGGTAAAGAAATTTCTGTTTGTTTTGTAACAATGGCGTCCCGTTTTGCGGGAGATCAGTAAGAAAACATTTTGCCCCTTATATTATAAACAAGTAATCACATGGTTCCTCGTAAAATTAAGGATTGCGCGACGAGGGCAATTTCAGCAACTTCCGAAACACGCGTGATATTAATCCTTAATTTTACTCGGCCCCAAGCGATTACCTATACTAACTACAGTTTCCGAAAAAAAGAAAATATTGATATTGAAACGCACTTGAGTTATTTCCAGAAAGGTTTTTTCGAACTGAATTCTTTGAGCCTCAGAAGTGTGAAAAGCAAATTATATTGTGACAACAGAAATGACTCCTATGATGTTTTTCGCGGCAGAACATCCGGGGAGTATTAGTCGTAGAAACATCTTCCTATGTCAGTTCCACGTGTTTATCGTATCATTTCTCGAAATAATGAGTAGAGTGGGGTAAAAAAAAAAAAAAAGGAAAGAAGCCCTTGGGTTAAAGATAGAAAGAAGCCTGGCAGTGAGAGTCAGACATTGAAGGATTTCGGTAAAGAATAGAGAAAATATCTCGCTGAATCGGACAAGGGCTCGTGGTATGAGCAACCTTTTGAAGGTTGCATCTCGGACTCCGCCGCTTCCTTAGGGTCAATTAGAGTTGAACTTGACGGCGCAGACAAAACGTTCCTTTGCCTTGAATGTCTTTTTTTCGCCAGCATTCCGAGGCTCTGTCACGCACTACGGCAGGATAGTTTCCCGCGAAATATGTTTTTGTCGAGAGTCTCCTAGGACTCCACTCCTGTGTTTCTATTGGCAGTTGGTATTTCGAGTTTTTCAGAGTGTTGACATAACTTGACACGTGGTTATCCGAAGGCATGAATTGTTTGAAGACTTTGGAAGCGAAAGAAACCCACTTCGTTTTTTACGCGAGTGTGTCTTCTTAGGACGAATTAATAGTGTGTGAAACCTTCACGGATTGACTTGAAATTTGGTCCGAAGGCTCCCAAGATATCAATCTAAAAAAACCATTTGGGGCTTTTCCGTCTTTTTGAAATTGATCTCTCATAATGGTCTCCGAAGTAACGTGTATCAGTAAAATTCTGATAACCAAACTTGACAGAACGATTGCAAAGTAACCAGCAGGAGTATCGAAAAAGCCCCACGCTGTTTTTAAGACCAGAAGTTTTATTTGTGTGGGTAGGTTTCATACCCGATCAATTCGCTCAAAGAAACATCGTCCGTTTCGACTTGTCGCGCCTTAGTAGCTTTACAATTTGATCAAGCTAAAACAAAACAATTTTCGCTGGAAATTGCATTTCATAACCTTTCCATTGATATATAGTTTATGGTGGTTGCACTTTAAGTAACGCAGTAACATCTTTTTTCTTGAAGGACACCTGCGAAGTTCTACTTTATCCTTAAGTTGTAAGTAGAGTTAGGCGTGGACGTGAAGATGATTGTTTAGTTTGGTATCCACTGGCCTGTTGTAAAATTAAGCTAAAGACTGTTTGCTAAAAAATATTCCTAAATAAGAACTTTTCCCATAACAAGGCCGTTGAAGACTAACTAATCTGGGGTTTCTGATCAGGCTGTAAAATAAAAGCGGATGATATTGGCCGCAGTGGCGTTAAATAATATTCTATTGATTGTGTGCGATGCAATATTAATGACACAAGAAATAGTATTCCGATTAGGGTAGAACATTTATGCACCAATTCTATGTTTCTATTTCGTTTTCAGGCGACTGGCGATCCAGCCTTTGCGATTTCTGCAATATCAGTGCTTTTGGATGATTGTGGTCAAATTGTTGCCAGAAACCTTTCATCGTATTCTAATGAGAGTAATGGCGACAAACAAGGCAATTCGAGTTCTTCCATCTTTTATAACATTGCTCAGAAAATGTGTCCAAATGATTGTTCGTTAAATGGGAAATGTGTTAATGGCTCTTGCATCTGTAACGATGGATTTACGGCAAAGGATTGCGCAATTTCACTTGGAAACGCACCCATTATATCTATGTAAGCGTCACTTTCATTTCTAGCACTTCTTTTGTAAGGCTTTAAAGCTGTGAAATGAATACAATGATATATAGATTTAGCCAAGGCTAAAAGTGGAGCTCCAGTTAGTCTATTTCCAGCCGTTCACCTAAACTCTTCAACACTGGCTGTCGAAGAGTTTATTCAAGGGTATTAAAGGGGGGGTCAACACGCATGCTACTCAGAAGTATTTTGGTATTTTTAAGCAGCGTAACACCTTCGTTGATGTTCCTGATGTTTTTTGACGGATTCTCGACAATAGGAAATGTTTTCCTCTTCAGATACAGTGTTTGATGTCAGTATATCATATCGATTGGACACAAGAAAAATAATATGAAAATATTTGTCTTCCAACCAACTGCTTGAGGTAATTATGCAGTGCTTATGCTTTCAAAAGAAATCGCAAGTTTCATTTTAGCTTCGGTTATATTGAGGTAATTTCTGAGGTAAACACTGTATGACAGAGGTGACTTTCTGGCGCGCGCCAAAAATAACAAAGTTCTACTTCTCACAAGTCGCGACATTTCAAACATTTTAGAATGAAAAATGCTGCGTTGAGGCTAATTTTAAGCAAACGAAATTTTATTCGTGACAATTAACTTCTGCCTTTTGTCTGCGATAATTTTGGCAATTAAGTGTTTCTAATAAATTTTGTCGGTGTTTACGAATACCAAGAATGGTCTTCAAGTCTGTCATCTCTAACTTGTAGCATGCCAACTGGGGCTGTTCTTAGTTCCAAGTGGCTCGTGTTCTGTTATACACCGGAGCTTGGTTCCTGTAACTGCAAGAATAGATCGTCTCATTCCAAGGCAGCAATGTGAAATGAATCCGTGGCGGGCACTGCGGTCTTCTTTAGCAAAATAACTATCGCTCCAAAGCTTGGATTTGTTTGAGGAAAAAACCTTTGTCAGTGTCCTAGTACATTTAATTCTTAGGAAAATTCATTCTTGTTTTCCGTATGTTTCTCTTGACAATTACCGCAAGAGAACCACTCGCGATTTCCAAGACGTGAGCGACTGCACTGGTCGACGTTTCTTCTTGAAACTCAGTTTTCTGACTTTCTCTCTCTTTCTCCCTACAGAGGTATCTCCTCCCCCTGAAGACGAGTCATGTTTCTTTTGAAACAAAAATGGATGTATTACACCCTCTCGGCTCGACTGAAATCTAAGTCGTGAATTTACGCTCTCCTCGCCGCTGTTTTCCTTACTTACATCCACTTCAGCAGGGATGTAATTTAGCATGCTTCACTGCGTCCTAGTTTCGTCATAAGAAAGATGGCGGATTTCGATTTGAAAATGCCGATTTTTGGAACGTAATTGTTTGCAACTAAAACGCTTTTAGCTCAAATCAATAGGCAGTTAGGATAATGCAAGCAAGGAACCTTTGATATAAGTAAACTTTTTTAGACCGTACTTTCCCTTTAAAAACAGGTTGTACAGATTAGGGCCGTGTTTTGCCTATTTTTCGCATTCTTTGTAACTCTCTGTCGCGTTTTTTCTCGACAGACTCTGCACCTTTTGCTTTTGGTTCTCTTTCATCGCCTCTCTCTCTTTACAGCCTAATTTTCACTCCAGCCTATTTTCACTCAAAAACTTTCTCCGCGAGCTTGAGTTATGATTATCTCCTCCAGTTGACAAAGCTTCAGCTCTGAATATTGTTGCTTGGCAAGTTGATCAGAAATTTCAAAATTTACCGTTCAACTACAACTTAACTAGCATGATTTTCCGCAGAAAGCACAGGTTGCAAATTCTTTGCTTGCGTGGCCTCACATCCTCTAGCCCAAGTGAAGTCAACTTGTAATGCGTAACCGTGTGCCCAAAGTACGCTAAACGAGAGTTAGGCTCTCTAGAATGCGTACTTCATCATCTTTCCCTGGTGTTTCCTGGGGCACACAAATAGAATTTCCAAATTACGCACACAATCGCGCCTGTGCATTTCCTTCTTCCTTCCTCTTCCAATGACGTAATGGCAAAACCTGTGCCCGTGGTTCAGTTGGCTGTGCATGCCAAAAGTAGCACCTTGTACGTAGGGACGTGCAGTCGAACTCCAAACCAAATCAGTTTTCGGCTTGATGGGTTACTACTATTTCTTTTAAGTATGGGGCTACGCTGCGCGCGCCTCGCGTGCTACGAGCTCCTCTATGATTACTAAAATCATTATGTCGTTCCTCTTAAAATGTGTAGATTAGCTCCCCCGAAATTTGGACAGATTGGAACATTCTTTCAATTAGTTTCACTTCAATGCGGTTCACTCGCAGTTTAAATTTCCTTTGTTTCTTGGCACTGGCATCCATAATCTTATTGACTGACTGGGTGTTTTTATCGATGAAAGCGAAAATCTGTCTTCACGGATATTGGAAAAGCGATTGTTACTGTCGTCACCACCAGTAATGGCTTTGTTTAGCACCAAAGTAATCGTCTTCTTTAGCAATGTAACGTGATTGTCACTGTACAAAAACGTGGTATTAGTTGTCATTAGAGAAACAAAGTAGTTGCTGTGGCGTTTGTTGACTTTAAAAAAGCATTTTACTGTTTATCTCACGCTATCCTACGGCATAAGTTGAATTCTCAATTCGGAGTTCAAGGTTCCTTAGTATCAAGGCTGACTGACTATCTAACCAACACAACTCAATTTTCGGTAGTAAATGGCCACCACTCAACTGTGCCAAGCGTTACCTGCGGAATTCCCCAAGGGTCAGTACTGGGCTTCACGTTGTTCGCTTTGTATACTAATGCCTTCCAAGTGCTGTCACCTCCGGCTCTATCTTTCTGTACGCGGATGACATCACCGTTTATTGCATTGGCGACACTGTCGATAACAATATCACCTCTTGAAATAGAGCTTTATCTGAACTGAACAGCTGATGCCCAGAGAACTCTTTAACCCCTCACTCGGCTAAGTGGGAAGCTATGCTTTTGATGAGAAAAATGCACATTGGGCTGCTAATTTCTGTGACTTTCGGAAAGGAAAGGATTGAGTAGGTAAAACATACTCGTCTTACGTGCATTACTTTCGATGACATGATTTCCTGTATACACCATTTCACAGATGTAAAAAACAACTTTGTTAGCAAACTGAACCTCATGAAAAGAAGTTCATTTTTAAGCCGAAACGCCCTATTGGACTTGTGCCTTAAGATAATATTGCCATCCGTTTTATATGGACCGGTCGTTTGGGGCAGCTGTCCAAATACAGACCTTCTACAATCTTTGGAAATACTTCACCGAAGAGCAGCCCGAATAATTTATAACTTACCTCGCGATATGCCTACTGACGAAGTATACCGACACTCGAATGTGAACACTTTAACCCTTTATTATAAACTTCGATTAATGAAACTAATTCATAGCGTGTTTATAGGTGAAGCACCTGCGGCTCTTTCATACTTGACAAATAAATCTTGCACTGCGTACAACTTTAGAAGGAGTAATAACATGCGATATTTGGGCCGCTAATTGGGCCACATTGGGCCACTAATTCGTTCGGCGTTTTAACTCTATTAGCTATAGAGGCGCTATCCTTTGGAATGCTGTCTCGTCTCATTTTACGGGCCAGTTTACTGATTTTTATCGTAAAGTGAAGAAAGACTTTTATTTTAAGGAACTTGATTTTAGCGCATAGTCGGTCCAGTCGCTGTTCAGGCATTACCGAGATTTTAAATGACTGTCAATATTTTATGCCTTAATTACTGTAGTCAATTTATTCAGATGTAAATACGTGAACTCATTTAATATATATATCTTATTAGACATTGGTTGTGTAGTATCGCTGAGCATTTTTACTAGTTTTGCCGTATTTACCGATACTACACAACCTAACGTCTAATAAGAGATTTACTATCTAACACGCCAAATTGTTATTCCAGTGCGGGCGAATTTCGCGGATATTACTGGAGTACAAATATCACATGACATTTGTACTCGTCTCGCACGTTATTTGTACTCTACGAAGCGCAGTTGGATAATAATTCTCTTTTTTAGAAACTTATTAACTATTTTTTCATTTTACCATGGTAGTTGTGTTTTGCAAGTAATGTTATCTCTTTTTTTAACATAGTTCCATATTGTAGCTATTTCCACACGACCCCACAAGCTATGAGCTATAAACCCTATCGTGTTGAAATAAAGGATATGATAATGATAATGATGAGGGGCGCCTATAACTAAGTCTTTGGTTAATATTTATCTTGAAATCGTATTTTCCGAATTAAAGGTTACAAGGACGAGGTCTCTGTGATAAGCGCCAACGGCCATGCAAGAAGGTGACTGTGATGGGAAGTGGCTTCATTAACTCGACAAATGTAACTTGTCACGTGAAAGAATACAAGGTATCAACTTAAGATTAGCCATAATAATATACTATTGAAGCGACAAATTGGTTCTATTTATTCTTTTTCTCTTTTCTCTAATTGCAAAATCATAGACTGGTTATCTTTTATCTAAAGAACGGATCGCTTACGCTTCAAGGACATGATGATCGTGAATAAACATTTGTGACGCTGTGTAGCTTGTTTATCTTACACCACGCCGAACGAGCCAATAGAGCTTGAAATCTCACTTAAAAACAAAACTCTAAGCCAATCAGACCTCATTTGAATGTTCTTCATTAGTTACGACGTGGTTTGGATCAGAGAAAAATTCTGGAAAATCGAGAAATTCGGATAATCGAGAAATCCGGATAATCGAGAAATCCGGATAATCGAGAAATCCGGATAATCGAGAAATCCGGATAATCGAGGTCCGGATAAGTAAGATCCGACTATATTACCATAATCATTCTTAATATTCTTGTAATAATAATAATAATTATTACTATTATTATTATCATCATTTTTACTGGCAGCATGCATGGTCGATTATTTAGCACATCTAAAATAAAATTTTCGAACGGTTATATTACTTATCGGAGGCTCTAGGTACAGCAGTGAGTTATTTAAATGCCAGTATATACCTAATATTTTTTTGTTAATATAGTTAAGACCTTGACATAAAGCCTGTTTTTCCCTCTTTCAAACTTAGAAATCATGATGTAATATGGCAAGCCCCATTCACGTACCTAGAAATCACTTTCCTCTTCATTGCTTGATCCTAGGAAAAGGTCAGGGTTGGCTTGCTTTTCAAAACTACGCGCGAATGCATGCGGAGCTGAAAAAATCCCTAATATGTAGATACGTATCTGAAAAAAAATAAGAACAAAAAAGAAAAAAGAACAAAATAGTTACTACACCTATTTATCTGGAAGGGCTTCAGTATTTACTAAGGTTTTCTTTCAACATTAAATACATTTTAATTACGCTTAAGGTAATAAATAGTTCGTGGACTCCAGACAAAACAATCCAGCGATTCCCTGGCGTTATGACAGATTTGGTATTGGTAGAATGTTATTTGCCTGATTCCCCCGTCAAGCACAACTTCTTTGATGAAGCCGTTGAAGGAACTCCTGCAGCTGGACTCACAATATCAGTTTCAAATGACGGCGAAAACCCAAGTTATGATGAACTGTCATTTATATCATACGACTCTGGTTGCCTGAGTTGCAATATTTCTTCACGATGCTTTCTCAAAGTAAGTGCATTGTAGTGTTGACTTTTGTCTGTGTTTAACATAATAGCTTGCAAAAAGATATGTACCTAATTATTTCACGCCATGCCGAGCAACTGCTGACAATGAAAAATCATGTTCATGATGTTGATCATCATTATCAATTTGCTTTTCTTTCAGAGTAACTCTTGTTTGATTAATAAATACTGCTTCGCCGCAAACGAAATGAACCCCACTGATTTCTGTTCTCAATGTCTTCCGGATATCAACAAAAACACATGGACAAAACGACAAGGTGAGCTTGTGATTACATCTACATTTATTCCTACCTTCGACCAATCATTTTACAAGTCTCATCGATTTTTCCCCTTTCATTTACTCATCGATCTTTTCCAACAATTTTTTCGCTTAACTATTTACAAATTTTTGAACAATGTGTATTTTATTTACCCAAGGCGGTGGGCTGCGGTTCGAAGCCGAAAGCTGGGAACAAAATCTCCCATACCGAAAAAAAAGTCTTTTTTCTTTTTTTCTTTTATTTTCGTAGTCTTATATTAACTTACACTATGTGTCGTCTAAAACTTATTTGTACATATAAAATCTTGGCATCGAGCAACTTAGCGACACCAACTACCAGGGCTTTTATTAAAACAACATCTACATCTAACTAGATACCAACTGGATTGAATTCCTTTGTTTTATTTCTTCGTAACTGTTGATCCTACTTTAAAAAAGGTATCTAAACGACTAATTCAATAAATGGTTTGAACCCGAGGTTACAATTAATTTTTATCATGCAGTATGATCGTCTGGGTGACAGACAGTAGACCCGAGAGAGATTATAGCCAATAATGGTGACTGACGTTTCGACAGCCTTACAGGAAGTCACCATTCGTGTCGAGAGTTATTTGCTTAGTCAGTTTTTCCGTAAGATTATTGGTAAGTCGGTCCTTATTGTTCGGTTTTGATCTGTCGGCATGACAGGTCGCTCTTTTTGGCTCCTTTGTTGACTACCTCATTGGACGTAAAATTGAATTGCGCACAAAAAAGGAAAAAAAAACACGAACCCGCAAAGCCTGAAACACCGACAAATGCGCAGTGAGTCAATCAAATCCGAGGATCTATGATTCTTCTTTTAAACACAAGGGCCCAGTTGTATAAACGGCGGATAACGCTAGCTATTCAACGGATAATTGCTATCTGGCGCATAAGTGATAGAAAAACGTATAGTGTTATCCAACGGATATATTTTATCCATTGGATAGCGTTATCGGTTGAAAAGTCGAAAACTACTCTTGCATTGTAATCTAAGGTCAGGACAGAGTAAACATCAAGTCGCTGCGGTAAGTCTCGGAAACAGACTCCTCCGAGTGTGTGCACTGCTTAAGAAGCAAGTCACTGCATAATTCGCCAGTATGATTTGTAGTATTTTTTTGAAAAAATTGGTCATACTTGGGCAAAACTTACATCCTTGCTTCTGATTGGACGGCTAATAAGCCTCAGCTTGTTTTAGACGCTTCTAGTTCATAAGCTTCTTTCGTTAGTAGTTTTATGCCATATTACCGTTATTTGACGCAATCTTTCGACTCAAGTTTTTTAAACGAATAGCAGCCTAATTTATTAAAAAATCCTTGCTTTTTTTGTGTTACTAGCTGGCATATATGCATATGTATGTTTTTGTATATACCTGTATATAAAGCTTATATACATAAAAATTTTTCGGGTGGAATTGTATCTTTTGACTTAATTTTTAAATATCTTATTTGTCTCAACGATCTTCATTTTTTCATTACAAAAAAAGTCCTATCCTAACACATCTGGTTATATTTATCTATAGTAAACCTTGCCCCACAATTTGCATCAACCTCTCAGTATTACGCGGTGTTTCAAGAAACTCTGGAGTTGCCTATTGACGTTCTTGATCCAGAAGGCATGCCCGTGGTAGTTTCTCTCGTGAATGGAGGTCCAACTGAGGCTATCATACGAGAAAACGTTTTGATATGGAATGCTACTAAAGATATCATGACCCATTTCTTACTCAAAGCTACTGATGCCTGTCAGGCCGTTTCTTCGCACAATATCACCGTATCTTTAGTCAACTGCCAATGTCAAAACCATGGAAGATGCGTTTCTCATCCAGATAAACCAAGAGGATCGGGTTATTATGAGTGCCATTGCCTTCCTGGATTTGCAGGAGACAAGTGTGAGACAGACATCAACGAGTGTGAATTATACCCATGTTTAAGAGGTAGTTAAGGCTTTCGTTTTATATTCGTTCATCTCATATTTTTTGCGAACATTAAAAATAAAGTTCTCTAGGAGGAAAGCTCGAGGCTAGGAAAACCTTAAACTTCAAGGAAAAGATTATGTGCAGTTGTAGGCTTACGAAACTTCGAGCAAAATTCTGTTCACGTTTTTTTCGCAGAACGCAAAAACAACGTTTACATTAGCTAGAACAAAAAAAAGATTATGGTAAATTTGTGCAGTTACAGCAATTTCCTATTAGTCTCACTCCTTATGATAGTTATCAAGGATAATATCCTTTAATAAGAAGGTAAGTGGAGTACTCAAGCGACTAATAGATACATATCTCATAAGAACGAACGAAAATCTTAAGGTCCTAAATACCAGCGCAGTGGTTCCCTTCTCTCTTTTGTTACTGAAACTATAATTGAACTTCTTTTGTGGTTATTTTCTCGATGACATCTTACAATTAAGGATTGACGGTCAGCCTTTTTTTCCACTAAGGTCGTTGCGTTGATGGAGTGAATAATTTCACTTGCATCTGCTATTCAGGATATGTTGGAAGGACATGCAATGAAAATTATGACGACTGCAGTTCTTTGCCGTGCTTTCATGGTCAGTTTCCAACTCTTTTAAACAATTAACCTGAAGAAACAGAAGTTTGTTAACAGTGTTTGACTTTCTTTCAGAATTTTAAATTCGTGGCTAGAGCATAAGTTTTTGTAGAGATTGATTTTGCCTTGTTTAGATACCCGCACAAAAAAAAATTGCATTCCTATTGAGGAGATAATGACGATAAGTGAAAGTGATGTGCCCGCGTACATTTCATTTATATCAAGGGATCAGTAAAACCGTTTCCATACGCATTCAGTAAGCATACACTGTAAGTGAATACCAGCCCTTTTTTGTTGTTAGACGAATATATATGTTATTTTTTATTCTAAAAGGTAACTGCACTGACTATGTCAATGCATATGGATGCAGTTGTGAGCCAGGATACACAGGGAAGAACTGTAGCATTGACATCGATGACTGCCAGGCATCCCCTTGCAAGAATGGTGAGTAATATAAATGGAAATCATCGCCTTAAGTTCTTAAGATATTTGCACCCACCCACCCTCCCTCTTGCATAATTGTACGGTAACTCCTACACCTCTGCACTTCTGCACTCCTGCTCCCCTGTGCTTCTTTATCACTGCACTAATAGCACCCTACACTCCTTCACTCTTCAATTCCTACCTTTCTGCCCTTCTGCCTTCCAGCTCTCCTTCATTGTTGCTCTTTTGCATTGTTTAGTTCCTGCTCCACAGTCATCATGTACTTATTCACACCCTCGCACCTCCTCTCATTCGCTCCTGAAGCGCTGCACTTCTTCACAGTCGCGCTCCTACACACATGCGTGCCTTCAATTCTGTACTCCAAACCTCCTCCCCTCCCCCTGCACTTCTATATTCTTTCACCCCTTACTTAACCAGTCCATTGACAATTATCGATCAATTTGCTTTTCCGTTCACCTACTTCATTCACTTACGAACAACGGCAACAGCTGTATTATCCTATCATTTTCTTTTGTCAGGAACATGTTATGATGCTCTTAATGGGTACACTTGCCAATGCAACGATGGTTTCACCGGTTATGACTGTGATGTAAACATTGATGAATGCAAGTCTAACCCGTGCATCTACGGTAGGAATCTCATGTTAGGCTTATTTCAAATATGTATGATGGAAAACACAAAGGGTATACTCTTATTGGCTATGTACATTTTAATTTTTTGCTTGTTCATTTTTTGTTTGTTGGTTTTGTTGTTGTTGTTGCTGTTGTTTTTAGTATGCAAATCACCTCAAAATAATAAATGCTTTCCACAAGCAGTGGAAAGTACACCTCTTCCGAGATATCGCTGATCAGTACATGTTTCCTGGGACTTATCATTCTTGCGGTGATTGTTAAAGTTATCTGTCCCTTTCTTCTTTAAAAGGCCAAAACTGATGCTTGACAAATCTTTATTCGCGAGAGGGAAACCGCAGATATCCAATCTGTGGAATAATACTGTGTTGCAAGATATAAAAAAGATATTATTATTTTCGCAGAAAGTTGTTACAAATTGCGTAGAGCGACGATTAATGCAAAATGCCGCAACCATTATTACAACACGCCGTCCGGTTAGCCCAATGGATAGTGCGCTGGACTGTTGTGCGGGAGATCGAGGGTTCGAGGCCCGGCCGGACCAACACTCAAGGTCTTAAAATAATTGAGAAGAGTTTGCATCCTTTCTATAACATCAAGAAATGGTTAGATATTCTAGTCTTCTCGGATAGGGACTAATAAATGGAAGTCCTGTCTCCTGCAGGGTTGGGTAGGAGATGTTAATTTCCCACACACGAGATTACTGGGTGATGGATGTCCTCCCTTGGGATGGGATGGGATGGTGGGTTTGTTTTGCTGTGAAGGCCGTAAGTTAGATAACTGATTGGGTTAATTACGTCACCTTCGTTAAATAAAGAATATTGTATTGTAGCTCACCTTTATCACAAAAATTGAATGTTGTAATACTTATTACAAAATGCATGAGTTAACGGTTAGGTCAAAGAATTTTTTCGTTATTACAATAGCCATAATGTTTAAAAAATCACACTTTAGGAACATGTGTGGACCAGATAAATA